TCAACGGGACGACCTCATTCTGCCGCGCCAGATCTTGAAATTCCACAGTGACACTTGCCGCCACCTCCTGAAACTAAGCCGCAACACAAAATTAAGAGATTACTAGCTAAAACTGGCCACCCAATATAGTCGGCTGAAATGCCGTGAAATGCTCGTTAAACCTGTCATTTGCGCGCCCATGCTACTCATAATTAAAAAAGCGGCTCGACGATGCACTACGCAATCTGGATTACGAGATCTGCTTTCTGTTCGTTGAATGAAGACAACACGTAGACTATCATTGTGCTCACCAAGCCCCACGAGCTCGGGAATAAGATGGAGGAAATAATTTACTGACTATGTGTAATTATTTGCTGTATTGAATCCTGCCGTTTGTCTATCTGCGTCTCACAAAGTGAGCTTGATCAGGCAAGTGCTTGGCGTTAAAGACAAACGGCAGCACGATGCCATGCGACTGAAAAACTATGCAACCTACAGCTCTGATTTGGATAGCGCATTATGGGGACTGGAACAGAAACTTTACACTACTAGATACTGCTTTTCAAAACTTGTCCAGAAGCCGAACGAAAGTATCAATTATTTTACTGTCCATATTCATCACTCTATAGCTGTGTGCAAGTTTAATGATATGCTACCTGGGAAAATTGAAGAGTAAATGAAAATTCAATATTTAACCGTGAGAATATTGGGCAAACTTGCTAGAGAGAAGTTAGTGTCCTTGGTTGAGTTGGCCGCCACATGGGAAAACGCTTGTCTCCTTGGTCGCCAACGAGAGAAAAATACAAACCAATTATGCGACTTTACTGGTCGGCCGGTTGTTGATGTGCAGGCGGTCCGCAAACCAGACACAACCACTGAGTATGGAAAATTATTCGTATGTTATCATTGCGACCTGTGGCATTCGCACGCTTCCGATTACCGGCACAAAGTAGACATCTGTCGGAAATGCGGCAAGATAGGCCATCTAACTCGCGTGTGTAGAGCGGGAAGGTCCCGCTTGACGAACATCACTTCATCGCCTCGTCAAATCAAGATAGAGATATGTGAAGATTAGATCCTAGAAGACTTGAACAGTAAACTTAACTCAGTGTACTTGAACAGTGTGACACTCAAAGACTGTCCTCCTTACACAATACGTTTGACGATAGAGGATGAACCGATAAACATGGATCTAGGTACTAGGGTAGCGGTTACCAAGATATTGACGGCGCACAGCTTAAACAAGTTGATAGTTTCGTATACCTTGGGAGCTGTGTTGCTGCTGGCGGCACAAACAGCAAGGAAGTTTCCCGTTGTTTCGCCAGAGCCCGATTTGAATTTGTCAACCCGTGGCACTTGTGGCATCGCCGTTATGTTTTCATCCCGATAAAGTCATGGTTTATAGTGCCTCCGTAGTTCAGTGTTGTTGCATGAGAGCGAGTCGTGGCCAGTTCGCTTGCAGAACATGTGCCGCCTTCGACAAAGTTTGGTTTAAGAGCATTGCTTGTGTGTGGTGACAAGGCCGAGTTTACGGTGGTAACTTTCGTAGTCGCGTCCTGCAGAATGCGAGTTTTCCCTTCAAGAAGCTGGTGTTGCTGCGCCGGCTGAGATGGTTCGGTCACGTTCTAGGCATCGCGCCTGAGTGTTTGCTGCTTCACGCTCTATTTGCTCGTTCAGAACCGGGCTAGAGACGACCACGTGGTGGTCAGCCTTCCACCTGGCGACAACACCTGAAATTACTGACATCACGTCAAGCCAACATTGTGTCCGTACGTCTTCCTGAAGGGGGACCCAATGATGAGGTGTGCCATTGGTTTAACATGCTTAAGACATGGCCTGCAAACAGAATCAGTGGAAGATCTGCTTATAGAATTATATTGATTCACCTCTTTACTTCCTCGAACATTTAAAAGGACAAAAAAGAAATACGTTTTGTTTTATTTTTGATGCAACTGCACTTTCTTCTGATCCTTATTACTTTTTTGATGGCTCCATGTCCACTTCCTGGACTGATTATATATATATATATATATATATATATATATATATATATATATATATATATATATATATATACAGTCGATTCCGGTTAATCGGACCACATCGGGACCAGACCATTTTGGTCCTATTAAGCGGCTGGTCCGATGAACCGAAGTTACCCGATGTAACAAGATGGGACCTGCTATACATAACATAGGAAACTACTATTACGACCTGTATTAGCGACATATATTTATAGCAAACACACAAAAAAGAACTGCTTTGATAACGAACTTAGTTCACTGAAAAAGAAATTTACAAACAAATTCTTCGTAACGACCTACAAGATATTCAGCATGCGAAGTACAGTTTTATACAAAGGGATTACCGAATTCCATTCAGCGTTTGAAGACCGTATCCAGTGTGGTTTGACGCATTCTTTCAACAGACTGCATTCGCACAAAATCACCACAAACATGTAACGCAGTAATAGGACTACCTTCATTTCCTTCCTGCATGAAATAGCGGTGCAATGTTTCAATGCATTTCCTTGCATCCTCTTTTGTGACTGGCAACAACACGTTAGGGTTCTCTTCATCACTTCCATGGTCTTCTGTTGCTGTTGTGCGTTTCGCTGCTATTCGAGCAACAATGGCAGCATCGCATTCTTTATTTCCATCATAGAGTTGAAGTTCGTTGTCGATTGACAAAAATTCTTCGTAATTTTCAACTTGTTTCAGCTCCACATTCTCGATGTCATTTTCATTTACAATCACCATATCCACATCCATCTCCGAGACAATATGCTTAAAGCCACAGTGAGAAAAACAGTTCCGAATTGTCGCACTGCTCATTTTTCGCCAAATTTCGGCCAGGAATGTAACGGCTTGCAAAATGTTGACCTTTGCACTGATTTCTCCGGCAGTCGAGGATGAGGTCAGCAAGCCTTCTCCAATTGATTCAAGGATGTAATTCACCAACCTTGAACGATAAAAGGTCTTCAAATTTTTATCATGCCCATGTCCATCGCCTGTATCAAAAATGTGGTCTTGGGAGGCAGAAATTCCATCTGGATTTTCTTCAAGAAATCCAAATTTGAATGTGCTGCACAATTGTCGAGAAGTAATAACACTTTTCTCGACTGGCTTTGTAGCTCTGTGTCCCAATCCTTCACCCATTCTTTAAAAAGTGTAGAGCTCATTCATACATTTCTGTTTGCACGATACACAACTGGTAAACTGTCCATTCTGAGTCCCTTAAAGCAGCGAGGCTTGGCACATTTTCCTATAAGCACCAATTTCCTCTTGTCTGTTCCGGACATGTTTGAGCAGCACAAGACAGTTACGCGATCCATTGCTTTTTTGCAGCCAGAGAGAGTAACATGTTTGTAATTTAAGGAGCCGTCCGGTGTAGCACTATAGTACAACCCGGTTTCATCAGCATTATAGATGTCATCTGCTGGCAATTTTTCAAGAAGCTCTGGTAGTTTTGTTGATTTCCATTCTTCAGCTCGAGCGCTATTGGCACTTTCTTTCTCACCATGTGCTTTCTTAAATTTTACATCATGTCTAGATTTCCATCGAGACAACCAGCCGTCCGTAGCTATAAAATCTTCGTGGCCCAGCATTTTAGCGAGCTCTTCTGCTTTGTACTTTAACATTGGGCCACTTACTCGCACGGCTCGTCCAGTAACAAAGGCAAACCAATCATTAAGGGCCTCATCGACGTCTGGATCCTTGCCTTCACGCTTCCGTTTTTGGGAAGTTCCTCGTCGTCCTTCACATTGTGCCCATTCTTCTCGCAGATCTTTCTCTTGTTTTATCAGGCTCGATATTGTAGATTTTGCCCAGCAGGTAATTTCCACCAATCGACGCTGACTAGTGGTTGGTCCCTGTTTCTTGATCTGATTTGGGAAACGAATCTTCTCAGCTAACTTCAAGTCCCGTCGTGGCATTTTCTTAACATGCAACAAGACACGCACAGTTCACTGAGGTGAACTCGAGTCTGTCTCCCGGGTATTTCTATGGTTGACCTAGCCACCTGCTGTCCTATGATTTGCCGGACCTGTGTGTCCGCGAACACTTGCCGCGCTCGAGAGTAGGTCCGCAATGCGGGCTCAGGGCATTCGGCTCAATGGACGTGCGGTACATCGATCGAGCGGTTAACGACATGTGAACAAGCATGTATGTCTTCGCTCCGCCTACAAGTGTTGGAAACTACAGTCAGTTTCGGGCGGTTCTGAAGCCAATTAAATAGATGTACCTCAAGGTTGCCACAGTTCAGTTTATCCAAAGGCCAACTCGGATTACCGTAACTGAATGGTACGCTTTCTTGCTCGACATATGAACTGTAGGTTTAGTCCAGACATCCAGGCACAGAACTTGATTTTAACACCTCTGTTACCTGCCACCTTCTATCGTCTGGTCCGATTAAGCGGAATTCCGGTCCTAATAAGCGGCTAAAATTAGGCTAGCGTAATAGGATTCGTTTCGGTTCTTCAGAATTTGGCCCGAATAAGCGGCTGGTCCTATTAACCGGTGGTCCTATTAACCGGAATCGACTGTATATATATATATATATATATATATATATATATATATATATATATATATGAAATTATAATTCCTACTTTTACCAATCTACGTACATATTATGCCCATGCTTCTTCACCCGTGATAAACCATTATTCACTTGTAACGTGTTTAATAGAACGACACCATGAGATATTAAGCCGCGATGGTGCTCTGTGTGAATCGCCTATTTTGCTACCTTCTGCACACTGCAAAGTGCACATGCTTCGCGCCCCTTATTTCCCTCCACCTCGCCTCATAGGCTAAAATTCTTCGCCATCTAACTGTACGCAACACTTGACACAGGGATTATCGTATCGGCTTAACCACTTACCGTAGATTCGAGTCTGATAATCATCACCCTGCATTGATTTTTGGGTTTTAATCAACAGCCTGTACTCAGTCTGCACTACAAGTGCCTAGTTGTACTAATCAAAGATCGCTGAAGGCAACTGGCTATTTTAAACTTACATTCGTCCAGTTGTGGGTCCAATCCATTGTTGGTGGAAAATCGTTGCTGCTTGGATGTCAACTCAAAATCAATAATACTTTCCATCCAAAGCCGAATGTTTGTCAGAATACCGTGGTCGACATTTTCCTCTACAAGTTCACGTATCAGATAGAGCTGCGAACTGAATTTTGCGCATATATGTATCAATTCCTTCAGAGAGATGATAGACTATGGAAAAAGATCGGCGATAATCCAGAAGAAAAGTACGTCGTACTTGCATGAGCCTCTTCCAGTCCTTTGGCAAGGCCGACGATTGTTGCATTCGGCAGAATATTCGCTGGAGCAACAAGCATATGTAGGGTGATGTAAAATTCGTCGATATATGAGTCTTAAATGTACTGTACGAAATGTTGATGGCCTAACCTGGTGAAGATCAGCTGATTTTACACAACTGTATCTAGTTGGACTTCTTGGTGGCATACTAAGAAATTTTGTTATAATAATACCATACAATGTATCATGTCTTTTCCCCTTACTTGATCATGAAAATCACTAAATTAAGCTAAAAATTTTTGTATAGTAAAATAATTTGCAGTTAAAATCATCAAACCCGAGATCAGGGAGCGGCCAAACAATTTTTAAACGATTGCCTATCTTGTAGCAGTCTGGAGGTTCCCCGGTTTGTCTGTGTAAAATTCTAACTAAAATTCTTTCATTGTACACCTAAGCAACCGGTGTGGTTTGTTGAACTGATTACTGAGTTCGAATGCTTGACTCGCTCACCGCCATTTTTGCTTTGCGCTCGTTTCGGTTGCAACTCGCGGCTGACCTGTGTGCTGTGCTTGCTCCGTTCCCCTAGCTAGAGCGTCAACGGTGTCGTTCCTTTATAGCTAGATAACAGGGAATCTTTTACTGTACAAATAAAAGTTTCCCTGCAACTCGATCCGTCTTCTGGAATCGCTCTCTGGGCTCCCGGTAAAGGCGACCCTCTAAAATCTGGTACTACAGCACGACGGCGCATTTCTGGAAATTTTCCATATTCACTGTTCCCTAATAATAATCGCTCATCCTAGTTCTTCGCGCGCCACGAACGAAGCTGTTTATTGCAGAGCCTACATTTTCGCTTCCCGTCGACACTATGTACTTCTTGCACAGGATGTACTTAGCTTAGCTGATTCCCACTCAACATTAGAACTGCTTTGATGGTTGCGTTTATTGCACCAATTGAGATCTTCCAGCGCAAATTCAAATCATTTTACTAGTGATATCACGCACCCTAGGGTAACCTTCAACTTTCCACTCACTGTGCTTCACACTCACTGAATCATAACTGGTGATGCATGACGCGTACATTTAACGGATGAAGCGAGAATCAGGAGTTTTGTGTGTACTCTTCTTTCGGGGGTGTTATTAAAAGCGACTCGTGTAATCAGGGTTTAAACCCCTCCTTTTAAAGAATAAATAAATAAATAAATAGTTTATTGCGGACAGTGCGGGGCATGTCTTCATAGGCATGATTTTGGTGATTCGGACACGAACGATCAGTAAATGTACAGTAATGTTGCAAGTTTACCTGTAACATACTGGAGATCCAGAAGCAGCCGCAGCGGGTTTGGCTGGTGTAGGTATAGCACTAAGTGGCAAGGCCGAGGCGGCACTACTGGACTGGTTCCCGATCAACAGCCGACTATGTGCAGTTCGACTTCGGGGTTCATGTAGAATCAACAAGCACTGAGAAGAGAGACGCAACTTGTTTGTGATCTCCGTGTACTCTCCAACTGACTGCAGTGGCGACTCGGTCAAGGACGAATTCTACCGGGATCTACAACAGCTCTTGATTAATGCTAAAAGTCGGATGTCGTTGCTCTTGCGGTGGATTTTTATGCACTGGTTAACCACCTGTTACCATACGTACGCCTTCTTGGTGGTCATCACGCGCTCAATGAGAACCGCTCTGATAACGGAGAGAGGCTTCTCACATTGTGCGAAGACAACCGTCTGTTTCTTTCGAGCACTAACTTCAGGCGTACGAAGAAGCGTTCCGCAACGTGGCGTCCCCCTTCTTCAACACAACCGTGGTCTCAAATTGATCACATTACAATTACCTTCAGATGGCGTAGCGGCATACTGGAGTGCAGGTCCTTTTGGTCCACCTTCCTTGACTCAGATCATGCACTGATCTGCGCGAAAATCTGCATGTGTTTTGGAGGATTCCGAAACACGAAGCACCGCAAGATTGATGTAAACAGATTAACTCATTCCTCTGCTCAGGCGGGCTATCAGTCTTCACTGGCATATGTACTCAGTTGCAATCCACCTCAAAAGGTGGAGCAACACTGGACTTGTATACAGAAAGCGATGACCATTTCCGGCCACTCCAGCTGCAGTCTAGCTCGATGCTCCTTAAAGGCTTGGATCTCTGCTGCTTCCCTGGAGATATTCGAACGCCGCAAAGATATCCCGGAGGAATCAGCTTGCAACGAGCTGCGCCGTTCTGCCAACCGGCTGCTCAAGCAAAGCCTACGCAAGGATCAAAGGCATGGTGGTCTGAGCGTGCTTTCAAGATGGAGACCGCTGCCCTCTCTGGCAACACTCGCAAGCTTTTTCAACTCATTCGGTCCATTGGCCTCAGGAAGCCTGATGTCAGTGAGGTCATTTGCGAGGTGGATGAGTTTCCGACCCCCAACCAACAGAGGCGTATGGACCGCTGGGCCGATCACTTTCACTCGCAGTTCAACTGGCCTCCACCATCCTCCTTGTTGTCCACCATGGCTCGTCCCACTGAATCCACCCAGTGAAGCGGAAGTCTACCTCGAGATTCGACGCTTGAAAAGGTTCAAGGCTGCCGGCTCAGACGGACTCCCTCTGGAGCTGTTCAAGTACGACGGTGTGGCGATCATTAACCAGCTGACATGAAGAAAGAGTGCCTTCCTTTTGGGGCGAATCAGTTATTGTCCCGATTTTCAAGTAAGGCGCCCGCACTTCATGTGTAAACCATCGCGGGATTCGTCTCAGTTCGGTTGCCTCCAAGCTAGTGGCATCCATTCTGCTCCGTAGACTTTCCCAAATACGTGAATCATCCTACCGTGATGAACAAGCTGGGTTCCGTCCCGGCCACGGATGCGTGGATCAAACCTTTACGCTCCGCCAGCTCCTCGAACATCGCCACATTTATCACAGGCCTACTAGCGTTGCATCCCTAGAGGTACGTGCAGCTTTTGACTCTGTTGATCGACCTGCTTTATGGTGTTGCTTGCTAAAGAACGGGGTTCCAGAGTAATATACCGCCATGTTACGAGCACTTTACCTTCATACATCCGGCAGAGTGAGGGTCTATGGCCAGCTTTCCTCGCAATTCGCTGTCAATAGCGGTGTGCGATAGGGCTGCCGTATGTCCCCATTCCTCTTCAACTTCGCAATCGAATTCATTCTATCGAATTCTCCAAAAAGTTTCCAACATTTTCGCCTAAAGCTTCTACCGTGTGAGCGCGCGACCGACTTAGAGTATGCTGATGATATCGCCTTACTTGGTGACGATCCTCACGGTATGCAAATCATTCTGGACCGTTTGGCGGTTGTAGCATCTAAGTATGGCATGAGCTTCGCCCCATCGAAGTGTAAAGTACTGCTAAAGGATTAGCTTTCACCTGCTCCCGTGCTCACTCTCGAAGGTACACAACTTGAACAGGTAGATAGTTTCGTCTACCTTTGGAGCTGTGTTTCTGCTGACAGCACTATCAGCAAAAATCTTTCTCTTTGCATCACTAAAGCTCGATCAGCATTTGTCAATCTGAGGCACTTGTGGCGTCGTCGCGACGTCTTATTTTCACTAAAGGGACGCGTTTACAGCGCATCAGTTCGTTCAGTGTTGTTGTATGGGAGCAACTTCTGGCCGATTCGCGTGGAAGACATGCGTCTTCTCTCTGATTTCGATAACGGTTGCTTAAGAAGGATTGTTCTTGTTGAGTGGCAACATCAAGTTACTAGTAATGACGTTCGACGTCACAACTTGGGAAATGCGAGTATTCCCTTCAAAAACTGGTTTTGCTGCGCCAGTTGAGGTGGCTCGGTCACGTCCTACGCATGGCATTTGAGCGTCTACCGCGTCGCGTTTTATTTGCTCGTCAAGGACCTGGCTGGAGGCCACCGCGTGGTGGTCAGCCTTCGACCTGGCGACTGCACATGAAATCGCTGACTTCGTGTCAAGCCGCTGTTGGATCCGTACGTCTTCCAGGATGGGGACCCAAAGATGAGGAGTGTCAACGGCATAACACCCTTGAAGACATGGCCCGCAACCGGAATCAGTGAAAGAATTGTATACAGTATTGTACTGATTCACACGTTTAATGCTTCAAACATTGAAAATAACACAAAAAGAGAACAATCGGCGTGTGAAAAACAATCTAAAATTGTTTTATTCTATTTTTAGTCAAAATGTTCTTTCCTACGGCATATTAGCTGAGGTGCGTTGCTCACCTTCAATTAATATGCAACGATGATTATGACGCGATGACTGTCCCTTATTCGCTGACCACCATGATTTTTCTTGGCTGTGTCTAGTTGCTAGACTGCTGAGAATACATTCAATACATTCAAAACCTTCTGAAAACTTTCGTACATGGTTCGCGGCATCCGGTTTCGGATTTGCCTGTCCCTGTGGCCAGCCACAGGACGCCTGCGCCTACAGAGGGACCATGGGTGGCTTGCGCTGCACCACCCACAGCTCCATCCACACACCCCATATCCAGTGTAAACCCGAAGGAATAAGACCGGGAAGCATGCGCATGGGAGCCACGTTTCATCAACGGAGCCGACCCACATTCCTTCACGGGCAAAGACAAGCATGCTGTATTTGTGGGATCAAGTGCACACAAGGCGGTGGCTGGACCGTAGTCCGCTCCACACTGAGTGCATGGAACCACTCTTCGAGCCTAGCACAACCACAAGGACCGTGCACCCCGTCCCATCCAGCGAGGATCAACTGTCTCCTGGAGCCAGTATGGACGAGGTAGTGGATAACAGACAGGTAGGCACCTTGTCAACATGCACATCAAGCGCAGTCACACCTGGGATGTCAAACAACAGCCAATCATTCTAAATGCGGACATCATATAAAAGATATCGAATAAGGTAAACGTATATGACGACATACATACTCGCTAAACGAGTATATGGAAGAAACTCGTTATAAGCGAACCCGCGCTAAGTACAAAATGTCCGAATCTTATCAAAAATAACACGTGACAAGTTACGCAAGGGTACCACAAATAGCATGAGCGACGTGTGCAAGTTAGTTAGCCAGAACAAACCAAATAAAGTGGAGTGAATTTTATCTAA